CCGCGATGGGGTAATGGGCATGCACTGAAGAGTTCAAAATTTCTGAAAGAATCATTTGTCCAGTCCACTGTCGGGTTTCCAGTTATCCTGTAACCTATATCAGTCTTTGATGTTATTTGAATTCTGGGCATAATTTATTCGTCTCGTTTGATTTCTAGTTCTCATTTTTTCAGATTGCTTTGATTAGGCAGCATTATTATAGCCTATAGGTTTCTTAAACGTATACCTGAATATTTATCAATACTTTTGACTTGAAGTTCCTTGTTGTCTGATTGCAACTAGCAAATGAATCCTTGAGGATGGTTTCATCCTATTTGTGATTCGTCGGTTTGATGTGCATACCCTCTAGTGAGTGATAGCCTTTCCATTGGGACTCGAGTCCAATGGCCATCATCTCAAACACCTAAACATCTTCCAATATATATATATATATATATATGTAGGCCACTTACGTTCCCAGTGTAACATAGGGCTTCAAGATAGCCCTTCGAAGTTTCGGTAGCAGCACTATTTATGTTTTTATGGGATGCGATTGCTAGCCTCATGCCCAGGCTTCCCTCTTTATCAGCCTTTTTGCTGGCCTAGCCAGGTAAAGGAGTGCCTCGTCGGCTAGGGATCGAACCCCAAACCACACGTGACGTGGTTGGCGAGCATTCTACCTCTGTGCCACCGACGCACAGTGGTCTATACATACATAGATGCAATATCTACAGAATCCATTGGTTACCGTTTCCTGAATTTAGCATAGATCCAAAGTAATGAAACAGATTCGTATATGGATTTTATCGAAGTCATGAAGTCATCATGGACGCATAGTTCTTTCTTTAAAACTAAAAAGTCCAGTGTTAATGTCTTTAGTCTTAATGAGATGAAAATAAGGTGGAGGTGTTAGTTTCTGTAAACACTTTAAGATTTTATTATTATTATTATTCCCTAAGGTTACAAATGGAACATAGGGCCTGACACTGCATCTCTATTTCACTCAGTTTTCTAGTTCCCCCTTGTTCATGGTTTCTCATCTCCTCCCCACATGTTCTCCTGCATACCACCCTCCAACTCACAAAAACACTGTTAAATTAATTAATTAACTAATTAATGGTCTAGGAGCTCGCATTGTAACCACAAGGTTCTTAGTTCGAACCTCGGTAGGTGAATGCTAACGAAAAGCCCCAAGCTAGGACGAAACGGCTGTATGGCAGTACTTCCAACTGGTTTACCAAAGATTCTCTAACCGATATCACCTCATGATTAAATCTTGTAACCAGTCAACCACATCCCTGCAAGCCAATACTCGAATCACAAAAAAGCTCTTCTTTTTCTACTAAGGTTACACTTGAGGTTGTAGATAACGCTTGATGTTACTCCACAGTCTCTTCAGACTATATGTCCAGTCCATGTCTACCTTTCATTGGCCTAAATTATTAGTTATTAGTCTAATTGATTGGTACTTTGTCTATCAGGATTCCTTGTTGTTAATCCTTTTTCTGACCATTTGATCTTCATTACGAAGAGAAGGGAAAACTGTTGTAAAAGTCTACAACAAGCTCTTTGAAATGCTTGTTGTGTTGCTTGAAGTCTTTGAAACACACAGAAACACTGACTGACTTGAGATAATGCTGACTGAGGCAGATTTCACATCTTCATCCCCGCCGCTGCCTGTAGTTGAGACAATGATCCTCAAGTAAGGGAAAGAAGTGATATCTTTTACATTTATTTCGTTGATGGGTGATTGGTGCTTGTTGTTGTCGTCGATCACCGAGTACCTTCACTGACTCTATCTTTTCTAGATTCACTTGAATTTCTAACTTTGCTGTCCCTCTTCAAGTTCGCAAGATATGAAACAAGAATCATTTGCGAAGTCTTAATTTTCTACAGTCTTCTTGTCTTCTTGATTCCGCACACAGTCTTCTGAATAATCCAATACACCAAAATTGCGAATGTTACCGGCGATATTAGGCAGCCGTTATTCATTTTAAATGCATCGCTTTCTTTCCGCCATGAATCATTTGGTGTATGAAGTTGTTATGTAGCCGGTGAGTGAGATCGATAAAAGATTGGGCACTAGGTAGCGTTGAAGTAGTTTCTAAACTATTTCGTATTCGAAATGTTGAAGGCTTTTTCACAGTCAATGAAGCTGATACAAGGATTTGACTTATTTTATTTGCGATGACGAATACTACTGAATTTCAAAGTTCAGTAGTGTTGAAGCTGCATCAGCTAGTGCAATCGGGTTGATCGCTGACAAAATCTCAGCAAGGATACAGAGGGCTAGTTTACGCCGTCTCTGGCGTAGACGTGATATCCGACTATCGACCATAGGGCGGGTGTACTGCTCATTAGTCCGCTCTGTCCTCCTTTATGGCTGTGAGTGAGACCAGGCCAATGAGAGTGGAAGGCATGAAAAGGTCGGCTAGCTGTCTTTGAACATGGGTGCCTGCGTTCTGTCCTCCTTGTGAAATGGTAAAATGAAGTGAGCAATATTGGTGTTAGGCTTTGGTTGAGTGCTAGATAAGGAGGGAGAAATCAATAGAGGAGGTTGTGAAGTTACATCGACTGAGTGAGATGGTTAGAACATGTATTACGCATGCCTAGTCATCGCCTTCCTCAACAGTTAATGTTAGCTGACATAGGATAAGGCTGGAAAAGAGCTAGTACGTTGTGGTCAAACCAAAACATGGCTTCATCAGTTAATGAAATCCACAACAGTTAGTTTAAGCCAGTCACGTAGGAAGATGTACACTTCCTGGTTGGAGTCCTCGGGACGGTATAAAAACAATGACTGGAGACAATCGGTGATATGGCTGACTCAAAATCGTTCTCAATGACACAGTAGATGCATTCACTCCTTGTGACTTATAATTTCCAATGAAACTCTATTGTTCTTCGATAGTACTATTCTTTTTGCCTCATATCTCTATTTACTGTCTCTATTTTGCGTTTTCTTTTACTTTCTTCTCTGGCTTTGTGTGCTACAAGGAGGGAGTGTAGTGACTTGAACTGGTGCACATCGGTACAAAGTTTTACGTTGAAAACAGACAAACAGACAGACTGAACTTCAAAAGTCTACAGTATAAAACTCACAATTCTCATTTCACTGGAGATACTGCTATACCCAGTTAAGATGAGTCTCATACAGAATAAAATGTGCATACATTGGATTCTACTAATATTACTAATCCCCAACAAGTAAAATCTTCAGATACCGTTGAAGCATCCTTACCAGGAGGTGATATGTCGAATCAACCAAGACCAAAGATTTCAGCACACTATAAGCAATTAATCAAGGGGAAAATGCAAATTAAGCAGAATGAATAAACTTACTGTCATTATATATTATTGTTTCCTTTATTTCGTGGTAGAACATAGGGCTTCAGCCACGCGTCTCCATTGCCTTCGGTTCTCTGCCAACGTTTTCACCCCACTCCAAGTCTGCCCACATGCTTTCATCTACTCTTCACATGACCTCCTCCATGTCACCCTCTCAATGAAGACCAACTCGCCACTTCCCTTTCGGGTTCCACTCGACCGAAGGCCTGGCTTGTGATGTCATTCACTTGATTGCAGTTTGTTTTCTCAGAGTATGGCCAGCCAATCCACCTTCATTTCTTCCTGCTAGGTTGATTCATTTGCTCTTAGAGATCCCTGTTGATGATCTCTTCTGGCCAGCCATCTGATCTTGAGTGGTATTGAGCGAAGACAGCTGTTAATAAAGGAGATCTGTAGTTTGTTCAAAGTGCCCTTCGTAACGGGGCGTGGCGCGCTGCCAAGTCTCTGGTCCATATAGAGTAGCAATGACTGACTTCACACTGGAGTTGAAAATCCGGATCTTATTTTCATTTCCATGCTGAGTGCTGTTGACCTCCACACAGATTTAAGAGTAATGAAAACTTGCCTTGCTTTCTCAATCCCCGCTGCTTTGATATCCTCATCAGTTCTGTCCGCCTGTAGTTGAAATGATACTTCCGAGGTAGGTAGGTAGGTAGGTAAAGGAGGTTGCTTCTTTCAGATTTCGCAAAAAGAATACTTATTACTCTGTGGAAAAAGGTAAATTTGATCAGAAATTACAGCTGACTTGATTTTAGTAGTATAAGCATACTAAAAATTGTACTAAAATTCTTAAATATTCTGTTTACAATAGATAAACAAGAAAGTTAAGTTAAAGTTAATAAAATTTTCAAGTATTGGCTTTGTAGGAATTTTTGTTTGATTGCATGGAGGATTTCATGAGGAGCTGACATCAGTTAGAGAACCACAGGAAAACCTGGGACTACTGGATAGCTGTTTCATCCCAGTTTGGGACTCTTCATCAGTACGCACCCACCAGGGTTTGAACCCAGGACCTACTGGTTACAAGGCAAGCTCGTAGACCATTGGATCAGGTCCCAGTGGCTCAATGGTCTACGAGCTCGCTGACCTTGTAACCAGAAGGTCCTGGGTTCGAACCCTGTTGGGTGCCTACCACTGAAGAGTCACAAACTAGGATGAAACAGCCTTCAGTACTCTCAGGTTTAAAAAAAATGTTATGTAACGTTTTCATCCACGCTTTATTAGTGAATTACTCTGCCAGGATCGATCATAAATTGACTTCACTTAGAGATCTACTGAAAACCAAACCACCAGGGAGTAATGGATGACTGTTTCGTCCTAGCCTGGATCTCTTCAGCATACCAGACGGGCATAACTTCATTGCCAGGGATCGAAACCAGGATCTTTAGGCTACAAGGTGAGCTCCTAGACCATTTAGGAAGCGCGGTTCACCAAATTACAGGAGTGAGGTCAAATACTTGGTGATGGTACCGACCGGCGGTTGCGCCATTACTCGCAATGGCCATTCGATTCTCTCTCAATAGTTCAACAGTACATCAGATTACCTTGTAACCTACCGATGGGTCAGCTGAAGAAATAGCTTTTCAGGGTATCCTCAAATTGAACTCAGTCTTAGAATCAATGAAATCGATCCAAACAAATTTTAAATATTATTTTCCTTTATTTTCCTATAGGTATATCAAGAGATAAACTGATAAACTGTGAGTACTCTTCAACAAACAAAGGAATGGATCAGCAGTTTAATTGTGAAATTTTGAAGATATGTAGAAATGACAGAGAAATTGAAGAAATCAAAGCGATTGACACAGAAGAAACAGAAGAATTGAAAGAAGGTGGTGAATTGGACAATGAAGAGTACTTACAGGAGTTCCACTGTCAGCATCACCCTCATCATCACCATCATAATCACAGGCAATATCAAGACGAATTATCTGAACATACCTTAACACATAATAATAATAATCCTACCATAAGCATAACCGCTTCATCAAGCCCTATGAAACATTGTCGACAATCCCCATTGATTAATTGGTTTAACGACACCAGCAATTATGATTATCGTCAAATGAAATGTGAAATTCCACCCACATGTGATAATCCCATGTTGCTGTCTTCTGAAAATATTCCATGTTATCCTATACAACAGTATATTACTGATTCTTCGTCTGGTTACATATCTTCGAATACATCACTTGCTATGTCTACTGTCGCTTCGGCATCTTCACCTTCAGAAGGCATACAACCTTCATTATGTTTAACAACAACAGTAAGTAAAATAAAACAGTCAGTTATAGAAGGAGAGACTACCACTACTACTACTACTCCTCAAATCCCTTTAATCAGTAGTATAGGTCAATTTACTGATGTACAAAATGAAACTGTCGTCTATGAAAAGTATCTTTCACAAGCCTATTACCCTTCACCAATGACAAATGATGCTCACCAATCACATAAAGAATATTTCAATTATGCCGAATTTAACCTCGCTCATCAAACGCATGGACGTGATAGTAGAAATACCAGTCCAAGCGGACTGTCGACTTTCCAGCCAAGTCAAAGGTTATTCAGAAGTAATATTAGTAACCAACAACAACAACAACAACACTATGAACAGTATAAACCTTCGTGGAGAATAGACCTGACTGGTGGTAGTGCTTCTACTACGACTGCTACCATCACCTCCACTTCACGTCATGACATCCAACTGACAAGATCCCTATCTGAAGAAAGAGATGATGAAATAAGTCTGAATGAGAGTGAAGGAAATACTCGACTGGGAAAGGAAACTAATCAATATCGTTTAGATCGATCTACAGATGTAATCCTAAGCAGGGATTATTCAAATTACCAGATGAATAATACATTTCATGCTTCAACAATATCGAAAAGTATTCATGGATATATGAATCCTGAGATGATGCCTAACAGTTTAATGAACAGTATTAACAATAGACTGTTTAGTTTAACACATTCTGGAGGTTATTCGACATGTTCTTCATCTGCTTGTTCTGTTTGTTCACCATCTGCTTATACAACAACTATGACAACGATTACATCATCAATAGCCGGAACGATATCATCGATTGAACCATCGCCAACAGCACCACCACAGTCAACATCAATGACGTGTTCAAGAGTTGTTGGACAAGAGAAAAATAAAAAACTCCGTAAACCACGAACAATTTATTCTAGTATGCAGTTACAACAGCTGGCTAAACGATTCCACTTGACTCAATACTTAAGTCTACCTGAGAGAGCTGAATTGGCTGCTTCACTTGGACTTACACAAACTCAGGTAAGCTGAATGTTATGTTATATTTTGTAATGGCTTTATACTGAATAATGTTTTGTATAATGTAGGGAATTTTTAGCAGAGTTCATCGCATGATATTTTCTCTTCGTCCAGGATTTTCAAATAAAAGTATTGATTTTTTGATTCCATATTAGTTTGTTTATTAGATGTATCACACAGTCAGTGAAACAGTATTATTATTTACTGGATGACAAGGTTTCGAACAAAATTTATTGTGGTTCATAATCATATCATCAGTTATAATCACACGACTTGGAAACTTGAGTTCTATAGTTTTCTTTGTCTTCTCCTATTTGTCGTCGTAGGGGTTGTAGAATTTTCCAGATATCTGGATGGACAGGTGTTGAATCATTCCTATTACATGTATTTGCAGTTGATTCGATAAGCACAAAGCTTCTGTTATCAGTCTCTCCCTACAACCTGTGACATTAGATTTTAAAACTGTCATCTTATCCCATCCTATTGTATGGTTGTGTTGTGTGTAATTGCATGTAGTGAGTGTTATAACTGAACTATTCTCTAGATTTCTTATCCAATTAGGGTCAGTGTAATATAGATTTTGCTACTAGTTTTTCGTGCTCCGTCAGTCTGACTGACTTCACTTGTTCTACTACTTTGACCTATGTATTTGACCTGACAGTCATTCCAGCAGGGTATCAGATAAACTAAATTGTTTTGTTTAATTAGCTCCATTGGCAGGATCCTTTAACCGACAAAGCTTGTTTCTATTTGAGTTTGTGTGTTTGAATGCTACTATCATTCATGATAGCAGCGATAGTGATAATAATAATAATAATATTGATGACGACATCAACAATAAAGAATCTAAATCACCAGTAGTAATTCCATACAAGGAAGGAACATCGGAAACCAACTTACGCAGAATTCTTAACAAGGCAGGCAGGAATAAAAGTGGCTGGCATTCATTGGCAGTACACAACCACCCCCAAGGGTTCCAATCCACCACCTTCTTGTTACAAGGTAAGCTCGTATACAATTCAGCCACTTAGACACGACTCCTCGATGGCCAGCCCATGAATTCTAACTTCTATCAATTCATGGTGCATTTAGTGCGATTGGCACCAACCAATGTCATCGGTGGGAAATCCATCCTCACTCCCGACTGGATGAACCTCACTGGTCAAAACTTCTCACTAGAACTCTAGGAAACTTCATCCTGTAGCCATTGGTCACTCACTAGTGAGCATCAGATTAATTTTCAAGACTTTGGTTTGCATGGATTAGATTTGTTTTTTTGAGTTTGACCAGGGAGTGACTGACAGTAGATCGTATGACACAGTTCTTTCTATCCTGACTTGAAGTGCAAACCAATCCATTATGTGGTATCTCTTCTGCTTCTCCTTCGAGAAATACACGACAACATTTTGTTGAAAGTCAATTTTTAAAAGTTTAGGAGTACCTTTTGTGAACTAAGGACACCAGTCAGGAACTGTTATCTCATGTACTGGGATAAGCTGCCATCCATTGAGGATAATGCTTTTTCACATGTTTAGTAGAAAGCTGAGAATCAGCAGATTGTGAATGTTTTAAATACTCGCTAGACTAAACGATACTATTGAAGGGCGTAGTTTAGTAGATTTAAACAAAGTGATTAAGAGAAATCTTATGCAATATACATACAACAACCTCATCCAACAGCTATTACATTGGCATGTGCCAAGTGATCCATAAAGGAAAAGTCGGCTAGGCATTTGAAGTGAATACAGAAGTAAGACATGGCTGCCCACTACTATCACCGTTGATATTCGTAACTGTGATGGACTGGGAGCGAGGAGTTAGGAATACGCTGGATGACTGATGAGAAGACTTAAGAAGATTTAGATTTCACAGATGATATATGTCTGATGTTATACAAACTCGACGAGTTGCAAGAAGGCGTAAACCAACAGACTGGTTGAAAAGGCTGGCTGACAGTGAAGACAGGACTGCAGGTAGAGATGATGAAGATAGCCAACGAACAACACCATCAACAGCCAGCATCAATCACCATCAACGGGAGAGTTTTAACAAAGATTACCTCCTTCACTTATCTAGGGAAGATCGTTTCAACTACAGGCAGTTGGAAAGTATGAAGATGGGAAAGCTAACCAGCCAGAATCGGATAGGCAAGATACGCCTTCATTAACCTGAAACCAGTTTGGAAATCTTCTACACTTCGCCTCAGCATACAGAGCAAGATTCACATTTTCAACAGTTATGTGAAGTTGGTCCTTCTATACGGGTCAGAAACTTGTCCAGAGTGTCACGTAAAGATGTTCCAACAGGTTGTAAACCTTCATCAACAGCTGTCTTCGCTCCATACTGAAGACTTTGTGGCCAGAAAGAATAAGTAACTAGAGACTGTGGAAACGAACCAACCAAGAGCCAATCGTTCAATAAATATGTAGGAGAAAATGGAGATGAATTGATTGGACATACGTTGAGGAGGTCGTTGAATGACATCTCGCGCAATGCAGGCCAACGCTCGAGTGGAATCCCAATGGCAAGTACTCGACTAGTGGGTCGTCAATGTGAGGGTGATATGAAGGAGATCGTGTGAAGAGGAGATGAAGGATTGTGGGCAACCATGGACCCGGCTGAAGAGGACTTTAGAGAATAGAAGAAAGTAGTGATGTGTTATTGAAGCCCTATGTTCCACTCGAAACCCAAAGGAACAATAATAATAATAATAATAATGATATGCAAAATTCATTGATGGAGGTTCTTGTCAGCCCAGGTCTTAAACAGGCCACCACGCTGAACTAATTTCAACTGTTAGGTTTTTGTTATAAATCAACACATCGGTTGGGGGGGGGGATTGTTGAAAGCTGTACAGCAATTGAATAGATGTTTCGTCCTAGTTTAGGACTCTCCAATAATGCACAGTCATGACGTCACCATGTGAAATCGAAATCTGGACAATCTGGTAATGAGGTCAAGCTCGTTAATCGCCCAGAATTCAATAAGCTGTGAATTTCATCCGGGTCATATAGTCATATATCACTAGGCTGACTGCAGTGTTCAATGAATATCCCCTACTCCTTGACACTTGATGGACTCTACTGGTCACAACTTCTCAGTAGAGCTTTAAGGCGATAGGTACTGAGATATTATGGGATTCGGATAAACTTCGAATGTTAGATTGTCGTCACAAACCAACGTCAGTTAAAGGTACCACTGAAAAACACTTTATCTACTAGTTTATTCATATTTGTGATTTCCAAACGGGTTTCTTCTTCGGTAAATTGATCAGCTTCATTTCGGTCTATAAACTTTCTGAACGGATTGATTAATAGAATCAATTATCACTAATCTGACGACAATTTTAAATTTTCCCGTCGACTGATTGGACCGAAGTGCTCGGTCTGAGGTTGACATATATCGGCTTCTTATGCAGATGCTTCGAAAATATTTGGGCATGTAATTAAAAGTTGATTGGTCGATGGTGGCTAGCAGTGGCATCCAGGACAACCAACATTTCATCCTATTTGGGACGCGCCCGGAAAATCTAAAATTGAATTAAATAATTAATATAACCCGTTGCACAAGGGTTGGCTCTCGTGGCCCAGGTGGTCTAGTGAATAACGCTTAGGCATTTGAAATTATGGGCACTGGGTTCAAGCCTGGGTGAGAACATGATCACTGACTCACTGGGGAATGCAAGTACATCCAAATGACAAGTCCCATATAGGACGAAATGTCCATTATCCTGGGTTCTACCTCTAGTCACCATCCACCAATTAACTTCTAATTCGAAGACACTTACTTGACAATGGCTAGCGGTGGAGTACAGGGTATACGCATTTTGTCCTATTTAGGACTTGTCATTTGAATGTAGCTGTATCTGCGCTGACTAATGATGTTCTCACTGGGACTCGAATAGAGTAGTTGTGTCACTTCAACAGCCCAAAGCATTATCTACTAGGCAACTGGGCCATAGGAGACACTTATGACAGCTCAACATGTTTGATAGTTGTCACAGAATGAGACCGAGTTAAGTCGTGAACAATTCTAACTAATACCGAGTTATGAGGTCTTCAAAAAGATTTCATATAGTGTTGACTATGATTCCTAAAATAAGACATCTAAGGAACTGACTGTAGCTTCCGTTAAAGAAGAGACTCTGATGGGTGACGTGCATCCTATCAGACCAGATGTGTTCATATCTATTGAGAAGCCATCGAAACAAACAGATCAACAAGTCAAGTAACAGGACACTTACTAGCCGATGAAATCATCCGGCGGCTGAGCTACATGTTTCGCGAATTAGCAGAAGTTAGTATTTCATGGGATGACCACTGGATCAGGTCTCAGTGGTTGGATGAATGATCCAGCAGAGCTTTCCTTGTAACCGGAAGGCTGTATGTTCGAACCCTAGTGAGTTCGTGCTGATGAAATGTCCCAAATTAGGACGAGGACAGTTGTTCAGAACTCAGTGGTTCTTTAATGGTAGTAAAGTTTCTGACTTCAGTACTGCGTGACTGGAGGTTCAAGTCTCAGAAGGGATATGAATTTCATGAAGACTATAGACAAGTGTCGTCCACTGGGGGAATGCCAACAAGCACGAAACCTAGGACCAGACAAGGCTTCCTCCTGACTGCTCTAATATTCACATACTTGTATATTTTATGGATTTTAATCCATGATATGGCGTAGTATTCATCTACTGTCATCAGTAATTATTTAACATTTCAGTCTCCTTTACTAATATTCTGACAACTATGAATTCAAGTCAAAAGTTCCCGTTTATAATGTAATGGGATCAGTTTAGTAGTAGTAATAAAGAGAACGTTGATATTAACAATAAAGACATCGAAGGTGAACTGAACTGGAATCGATTCAAGTGGCAAAATAGAATAAAATTAACAGAGAAAATTACTATGACCAAGGTAAAGAAAGGGATTTGACAAAACGTTTTTGAACACATATAATTTAGGTTTCTGTCCATGAATAGCTAGGGCTTCGGCCTTTTTAATGGTTGG